CGTCAATTGCTTAGCGCGTCACGTGCGACGTGTTTAACAATCATCGGGCGCGCGTAGCGTGGAGCGAGTTCATTTGTATTTGAACGAGAGAAGTAAATTGGTAAACGCGCGGAGAAGGCGAAGCGTGGTGGCGGTGTTGGAGGGCTGCGCGAACTGGAGCTTGGGAAAAACCCTCACACAGTAGGACCACACGGAACGTTCCTCCTAGCCACGCGTCCTCCTGCCCACCGTTCGAATGTTAGCGCGTCGCAGTGGCTAGGAGATGTTAACTCCCCTGCGTGGTATACAGAAGGTCGTGGGTTCGATCCTGACCCTGATGCCTGCTGCTGTATATTTGGAGTTTGCGGTGTCTCTCTTCTCGGGGTTGCGTTGGTCCTCCGGTTCCCCTCCCCCCCCACCCCTCCGCGTTTAGGATGAACATGTGTTTAGGAGTATTTCACTGCTATACATTTCCACACGATGAGCCGCTTCGTTGAGCTATCATATGTGGCCAGGTCGCTTGTGAAAAAGAGCTACACACAGTTGAATAGTTGCAATCGATTTATACAAAAAAAATAAGAAGAGGTCTTACCCAGTGCCGGATTATCCTAGTATCAAAAGTACTACATGTGTAGCTACTTTTGCTACTACACGTGTAGTGGTAGCTACTACTACACGTGTAGTGGTAGCTACTACTACACGTGCAGTAGTAGCTACTACTACACGTGTAGTAGCTACGGGCCCCGCACTTTCAAGGGCCCCGCGCTAAACGCTTTCAAGCTGTAAATTCCGGTTCAGTGATTCTGCACTTGCTCTATTACTATAGTACTATACCGCCTTCGACTTTTATGAACGACTGGGTGTTTAAAGTTAGCGATTTGTCGTATTGTCTGGCTGTGTAGCAAATGAAAAATACAATAACTTTACTATGCAAGTTAAACATTTGTGTTTTAATATGTATTGGTTATTCATTTATTATTTAGGGCCCCTTTATAACATATGTTTACAGGCCCCGCACTAGCTTCATCCGGCACTGGTTTTACACTTTTTGGCAGAGGTGTTGCAAGGAATCGCGTCTGCATTAACCGCACGTGCTTGTGGTGAACATGCAAGCGAACATTCTCTGATTTATAATATATATGCATTTTGAAACAGATTGTCCTCCACCAGTTTCAATATACCACTTCCCGCCGCTAGCTACACACGCAAACCCTGAGACCAAACGGGGCCGTCTGGCTCAGATTCTTCATTCCGACCATCAAACAAAATCACCACCAACCAGCTCATTCCGGCCCGGTCCCACCCCTAGTTTGTGTTTTTGCCGTGTTGTGCCTTCAGCGGATGCTTATCTTCGGTAAACAAAAATAAAAAACAGAGGCCCCATTGTGTACGGGGATGTTTGTGTTTGCGCATGCAGCCGACGGGGTAGTCGTGCGATTTACCCCCGGGGTGTGCAGGCCCACGTGGCCCAGGGTTTGTTAATCCACTGCTAGACGAGGGCCCCGATCCACGACATCTCGGAAAAGGTCGTAAAGGTCGGATTGTGTTTTAGGGCCCCTAAAAGTGGTGGGGACCGACCACAGGCACAGCACGAGGGATCAACGTTGGAGCGGATGAGAGAGGAGGAACAGGGACATTGCAGCTGAGCGAGGTTGATCGTTGTTCAGGGCTCGGGATGAGAGGCGATGGCGATGATGATAATGATGGGACGATGGGAATTCCAGAGTGGAGCGGTGGGTGCTGGGTTGGTGGGTGGGTGATGGGTGGTGGGTTGGTGGGTTGGTGGGTCGGTGGTGGGTTGGTGGGTGGTGGGTGGGTGGTGGGTTTGTGGGTGGTGGGTGGGTGGGTTGGTGGGTGGTTGGTGGTGGGTGGGTAGTGGGTGGTTGGTGCTTGGGTGGTGGGTGAGTGGTGGGTTGGTGGGTGGCTTGGTGGGTGGGTGGTTGGTGGATGGGTAGTGGGTTGGTGGGTGGGTGGTGGTTTAGTAGGTAGCCAAGTCGCTTCTGAAAAAAAAAGGATAGCCCCCTATATAACTCAGTGAGCTATAGAGGGATCTTACCTGGTGGTATTATAAACAATAAAATAGTAACAAATAAAACAAACATTGTGATTGTGGACAGTGCTTGGCATGTGCGACCCCCGTCACGTGCGAGAGACAGCTGCTTCAGGCTGCTGTGGGCGGCAAAGGGTAGCACAGCAAGACCGGTGGTTGCTCTTCTCTGCACCCCCCCCCCCCCCCCTCAAACTTCACCAACCCGCAGTGACCATTGTGGTGAAGTATGGCACAAAAACCCCCAATCCCACCACTCCCGTGTCTGTCAGAACACGGGAGTGGTGGGATTGGGGTTTTCATTGTCTGTCAGAACACGGGAGTGGAGGCATTCATCCAGCAGTGGATTGCCATGCCACTGTGTATATGATTGTTTTATTTTATTTTGCAGCGATTAAGCGAATAATACATACATTCACAACGTCGACAAAGTATGAATACACGTGTGTGTGTGTGTGTGCAAAGTGGGGAGCGGTTACTGCGCTACGAACCTGACCACCCGGGTTCGATTCCCCCTCACGGTCTCCCCTAGGTCGACTCAGCCTCAAATGAGTGCCTGGTGTGTGAACATCGCCACTGGGGGAGACAAAGGCGGTCGGGCGTGGTGCTGGCCACCCCACCCCCTCGTCTGCCGTTCCGACCTTCATAGGTGCTGCTCGCTAACAGCACTTGCCCCCAACAATCTGCATTGTCTGTCAAGGCTGTACGGGGGATCTTTGTCTTTGTGTAAAGTGAAAGGTCACCGTGACACCGACGGGGTTTGGCAGCCCAATAACAATAAATACCATTAATAGATGTATCAAAGTGCAACTTGGTAAATCCCCTACCAATGTCATCCGGACGCATCAAACAAAACGCACGTGGCAAATTCAGATTTGTGTTGTTCCAACTTGAATTGACGACAGACGGAAACGCGTCTGATGGAGCGATGGCATTGAGCTCAGTTCGATTCCCGCTCACGGCCACCACCAACAAACCAGGGGGTCAGTGGCCCTCCCCTAGGTCGACTCAGCCCCAAATTGAGTGCTCTATATCTCTGTGTGCGGTGCGTAACAAACGAACATGGCCAATGAGGAAGGCAAAGACGGCCGTGCGTGGTGCTGACCACTCGCCCATCACCGGTGGTGCTGCTACTCGTTAAAACGCCACTTGCCCCGACAGTCTGTGAAGGCTATACGGGGGACTTTTGTCTTGTGTGGCGGCTGTACATACACGTATGTTGTTCATATGGACATCTGTGAAAAGGAGCTTCGTAGCTTTTCGGATTTCTCCAGGATTATTAAAGATTCTGATATGTCAAGAGTGTGTATGTTAACACGCGTGTATGGTTATCTCAGTAGTACGTGCATGTATGTTAACACGCGTGTCTGAAAGCTCAATAGTGTATGTTAACAGACCTGTGTATATATCTATGTTGTGTATGGATGTTATCACACGTGTATGTATGTCTCAACAGTGTATGTGTTAACACACGTGTGTGTGTATCTCCAGTGTGTATGTTAACACACGTGTGTATCTCCACAGTGTGTGTGTATCTCACCAGTGTGTGTGTGTGTGTATCTCACTACAGTGTGTGTTAACACACGTGTGTGTGTATCACCACAGTATGTGTGTGTGTGTTAATACACGTGTGTGTGTATCACCACAGTGTGTGTTAACACACGTGCGTGTATCTCACCAGTGTGTGTGTGTTAACACACGTGTGTGTGTATCACCACAGTGTGTGTATCTCACCAGTGTGTGTGTATCTCCACAGTGTGTGTGTGTTAACACACGTGTGTGTGTATCACCAGTGTGTGTTAACACACGTGTGTGTGTGTGTGCATCACCACTGTGTGTGTGTGTGTATCACCAGTGTGTGTGTATCACCAGTGTGTGTATCACCACAGTGTGTGTATCTCCACAGTGTGTGTATGTATCACCACTGTGTGTATCACCACTGTGTGTGTGTGTTAACACGTGTGTGTATCTCCACAGTGTGTGTATGTATCACCACTGTGTGTGTGTGTGTATCACCACTGTGTGTGTTAACACATGTGTGTGTGTGTGTATCACCACAGTGTGTGTGTGTATCACCACTGTGTGTGTGTGTATCACCACTGTGTGTGTATCACCACAGTGTGTGTGTATCTCCACAGTGTGTGTGTGTTAACACACGTGTGTGTGTATCTCCACAGTGTGTGTGTATCACCACAGTGTGTGTGTGTCACCACAGTGTGTGTGTGTGTATCACCACAGTGTGTATCACCACAGTGTGTGTGTGTATCACCACTGTGTGTGTGTATCACCACAGTGTGTATCACCACAGTGTGTGTGTATCACCACAGTGTGTGTGTATCACCACTGTGTGTGTGTGTGTATCACCACAGTGTGTATCACCACAGTGTGTGTGTGTATCACCACTGTGTGTGTGTATCACCACAGTGTGTATCACCACAGTGTGTGTGTATCACCACAGTGTGTGTGTATCACCACTGTGTGTGTGTATCACCACTGTGTGTGTGTGTATCACCACTGTGTGTGTGTGTATCACCACTGTGTGTGTGTGTATCACCACAGTGTGTGTGTATCACCACAGTGTGTGTGTGTATCACCACAGTGTGTGTGTATCACCACTGTGTGTGTGTATCACCACTGTGTGTGTGTATCACCACTGTGTGTGTGTATCACCACAGTGTGTGTGTGTATCACCACAGTGTGTGTGTGTATCACCACAGTGTGTGTGTGTATCACCACAGTGTGTGTGTGTATCACCACAGTGTGTGTGTGTGTGTCACCACAGTGTGTGTGTGTATCACCACAGTGTGTGTGTGTATCACCACAGTGTGTGTGTGTATCACCACAGTGTGTGTGTGTATCACCACAGTGTGTGTGTGTATCTCCAGTGTGTGTATCGCCACTGTGTATGTGTGTGTGTTAACACGTGTGTGTATCTCCACTGTGTGTGTCTACATGCGCGTTGTTTACGCGTCACGCGCCCCCCTTTTGTTTACAGAGTAGCCGGGGCTGCGGTGACGTCACGACCGCACCACTCACAAAAACAACAATAAGTATCCCTCCGCCGGAGCGAGACCAAACAACGCAGTCGGCTGGCAGTTTTGTTTTATTTTCTCATTCTCGTTGTGTACGTACTTTGAAATTTCCTTTCCTTGCTCCGTCTCTCATTTCCCTCGCATCGCCGCTGCTTTTTTTTTAAACGTTATCTGTTACAGGGCGGGATAGTTTTCACCCCCTGCGTTCGAGAGTAAGTAAAGGGCTTATTTTATTTTTTTGTTGTAACGCGGAGTGTGGAAAGTGGAGCGAGGAGTTTTTTTTTGAAGTAAAGAGCGTCGAGTGTGAAAGTACCGAGGAGTTGAAGTCAACCGAGCTACTAAGTGCGGTGTGTTGTTGTTGTGGTGTTGTGTTGTTGTGTAGTCGCGAGGAAATCGAAGCAAGCGCGCGGGCTTCAACAGCCGCCGTTCGTCTACAACAGCGACTCAAGGAGGAGGGGAGGGGGGTCCCCGTCTTAAGAGGTAAAGTTCGAGTCGCGACGATTTCTTTTTATTTTAAACTAAGGGAAAAAAAAAGAAGTTCCACTTTGCCACCCCGTGTGTGTCTTTTGCGACTTTGTCGCTGGCAACTGTCGCCGCCGTGAATCCGTGGCCACTTTTTTTTGTATTGCCGCCCCGGGATCGCTTTGCGATCCGCTCCGGGTTTTGTTTTTTTGTGTGTGGCGGGGGCCTGGGGGAGGGAGGGGGGTAGCTGGCGGTGACGTCACCGCGCTTTGGATTTCCCAGCGCGGATTGGCCGCGGCGCTCCGTGTTTATCCGCTCTGCCAAAACTAAATTGGTATTTTATAGTAATCGAATTTGTTTGCGTTGAGCAGTTATGGCGCGCGAAACGCGACTACCTTGCCGGCTTGCTTGTCAACAACAACAACTGTGTTTGTGTGTGGCCTTAAAAGAGAGGGGCGGTGGGGGAATATATAACAGGCGACGTTTCGGTCAATGGGCCTTCTTCACAGCACGTGGATTAGCGAGGCCAGTCGAGCGGTGTTCGCAAAGGCTGCTAAGAATTTACACGTTTCTGGTTTTTTTAAATACTTCTTATGACCAGTTTTAAAATTGTTATCTGCTAATTACCAAAACTTAATTTGTTTACTTTTCGCTGTAGCGCGCCATCTTGGGTGGGGATGTTACCCCCCCCCCCATGCGCCAAACGGCCAGCAACAAACAGCACCGTTGATGATGGAAGAGTGTCAGAAGTTTGACATTGAGCAAGGTTCTTATTGGAAGAGTGGGATGCAGTGCGATGGAAGAGGCAGCGGGAGGTGTGTTGTGACCTGAAGAGTCAGTGGGTGAGTGAGGTGGGTGGGTGAGTGAGGTGGGTGGGTGGGTAGGTGAGTGAATGGGTGAGTGAGGTGGGTGGGTGGGTAGGTGAGTGAGTGGGTGAGTGAGGTGGGTGGGTGAGTGAATTAATGAGTGAATGGGTGAGTGAGTGGATGAGTGAGTGAGTGAGTGCATGAGTGAGTGAGTGAATAGGTAAGGGAGTGGGTGAAGTGAGTGAGTGGGTGAATGAGTGAGTGAGTTGGGTGAGTGAGTGGGTGAATGAATGAGTGGGTAAGTGAGTTGGGTGAGTGAATGAGTGAGTGAGTTGAGTGAATTAATGAGTGAGTGGGTGAGTGAGTTGATGAGTGGGTGGGTGAGTAAGTGGGTGAGTGAATTAATGAGTGGGTGAGTGAGTTGGATGAGTGAATGAGTGGGTGAGATGAGTGAGTAGGTGAATGAGTGAGTGAATGGGTAAGTGAGTGGGTGAAGTGGGTGGGTGGGTGAGTGAGTTGAGTGAATTAATGAGTGAATGGGTGAGTGAGTGGGAGAGTGAGTGGGAGAGTGAGTGGGTGAATGGGTGAGTTGAGTGAATTAATGAGTGAGTGGGTGAGTGAGTGGGTGAGTGAATGAATGAGTGGGTGGGTGAGTGAGTTGGGTGAGTGAGTGAGTTGAGTGAATTAATGAGTGAGTGGGTGAGTGAGTGGGTGAATGAGTGAGTGAGTGAATGGGTAAGTGAGTGGGAGAGTGAATGGGTGAGTGGGTGAGTGAGTGAGTGGGAGAGTGAATGGGTGAGTAAGTGGGAGAGTGAGTGGGAGAATGAGTGGGAGAGTGAGTGGGAGAGTGAGTGGGTGAGTGAGTGGGTGAGTGAGTGAGTTGAGTGAATTAATGAGTCAGTGAGTGGGTGAGTGAATGAGTGGGTGGGTGAGTGAGTTGGGTGAGTGAATGAGTGAGTGGGTGAATGAGTGAGTGAATGGGTAAGTGAATGGGTAAGTGAGTGGGTGAAGTGAGTGAGTGGGTGAATGGGTGGGTGAGTGAGTTGAGTGAATGAATTAGTGGGTGGGTGAGTGAGTGGGAGAGTGAGTGGGTGAATGGGTGAGTGAGTGGGTGAGTGAATGAGTGGGTGAGTGAGTGAGTTGAGTGAATTAATGAGTGAGTGAGTGGATGAGTGGGTGAGTAAGTGGGTGAGTGAATGAATGAGTGGGTGAGTGAGTGAGTTGGGGGAGTGAATGAGTGGGTGATTTGAGTGAATGAATGAGTGAGTGGGTGAGTGAGTGGGAGAGTGGGTGAGTGAATGGGTGAGTGAGTGGGTGAATGGGTGAGTGAGTGGGTGGGTGAGTAAGTGGGTGAATGGGTGAGTGAGTGGGTGAGTGAATGAATGAGTGAGTGAATGGGTAAGTGAGTGGGTGAAGTGAGTGGGTGGGTGAGTGAGTGAGTTGAGTGAATTAATGAGTGAATGGGTGAGTGAGTGGGAGAGTGAATGGGAGAGTGAATGGGAGAGTGAGTGGGAGAGTGAGTGGGAGAGTGAGTGGGAGAGTGAGTGGGTGAATGGGTGAGTTGAGTGAATTAATGAGTGAGTGGGTGAGTGAGTGGGTGGGTGAGTAAGTGGATGAGTGGGTGAGTGAATGAATGAGTGGGTGGGTGAGTGAGTTGGGTGAGTGAGTGAGTTGAGTGAATTAATGAGTGAGTGGGTGAGTGAATGGGTAAGGGAGTGGGTGAGTGAGTGAGTGAGAGAGTGAATGGGTGAGTAAGTGGGAGAGTGAGTGGGAGAATGAGTGGGAGAGTGAGTGGGAGAGTGAGTGGGAGAGTGAGTGGGAGAGTGAGTGGGTGAGTGAGTGAGTGGGTGAGTGAGTGAGTTGAGTGAATTAATGAGTCAGTGAGTGGGTGGGTGAATGGGTGAGTGAATGAGTGGGTGGGTGAGTGAGTTGGGTGAGTGAATGAGTGAGTGGGTGAATGAGTGAGTGAATGGGTAAGTGAATGGGTAAGTGAGTGAGTGGGTGAATGGGTGGGTGAGTGAGTTGAGTGAATGAATTAGTGGGTAGGTGAGTGAGTGGGAGAGTGAGTGGGTGAATGGGTGAGTGAGTGGGTGAGTGAGTGGGTGAGTGAATGAGTGGGTGAGTGAGTGAGTTGAGTGAATTAATGAGTGAGTGGGTGAGTGAGTGGGTGAGTGAATGAGTGGGTGAGTGAGTTGAGTGAATTAATGAGTGAGTGAGTGGATGAGTGGGTGAGTAAGTGGGTGAGTGAATGAATGAGTGGGTGAGTGAGTGAGTGAGTTGGGGGAGTGAATGAGTGTGTGATTTGAGTGAATGAATTAGTGAGTGGGTGAGTGAGTGGGAGAGTGGGTGAGTGAATGGGTGAGTGAGTGGGTGAATGGGTGAGTGACTGGGTGAGTGAGTGGGTGGGTGAGTAAGTGGGTGAGTGAGTGGGTGAGTGAGTGGGTGAGTGAATGAGTGAGTGGGTGAGTGAGTGGGTGAATGAGTGAGTGAATGGGTAAGTGAGTGGGTGAAGTGAGTGGGTGGGTGAGTGAGTGAGTTGAGTGAATTAATGAGTGAATGGGTGAGTGAGTGGGAGAGTGAGTGGGAGAGTGAGTGGGTGAATAGGTGGGTGAATGGGTGAGTTGAGTGAATTAATGAGTGAGTGGGTGAGTGAGTGGGTGGGTGAGTAAGTGGGTGAATGGGTGAGTGAGTGGGTGCGTGAGTGGGTGAGTGAGTGAGTGGGAGAGTGAATGAGTGAGTGGGAGAGTGACTGGGAGAGTGACTGGGAGAGTGACTGGGAGAGTGACTGGGTGGGTGAGTGAGTTGGGTGAGTGAATGAGTGAGTGAGTTGAGTGAATTGATGAGTGAGTGGATGAGTGAGTGAGTTGAGTGAATGAATGAGTGAGTGAGTGGGTGAATGAGTGAGTGAATGGGTAAGTGAGTGGGTGAAGTGAGTGAGTGGGTGAATGGGTGGGTGAGTGAGTTGAGTGAATGAATTAGTGGGTGGGTGAGTGAGTGAGTGGGAGAGTGAGTGGGTGAATGGGTGAGTGAGTGGGTGGGTGAGTGAGTGGGTGAGTGAATGAGTGGGTGAGTGAGTGAGTTGAGTGAATTAATGAGTGAGTGGGTGAGTGAGTGAGTGAATGAGTGAGTGAATGGGTAAGTGAGTGGGTGAAGTGAGTAAGTGGGTGAATGGGTAGGTGAGTGAGTTGAGTGAATGAGTGGGTGAGTGAGTGGGAGGGTGGGTGAGTGACTGGGTGAGTGAGTTCAGTTCAGTTTATTTTGGTATAGCCCTGTGAGCCATTCGGCTCTTGAATCGGGTGCAACCACAACAAACAAAAAAACAAAAACACGAACAAGAAAAACATCTTGAAATGACTATGTGACTGTGCAAACAGAAAATCCATGGAAAAAAACAGCAAAAATATTCCTGAAAAAAGCACCGTACACCAACGCTGTGTGCAAAAAATCCCAGTGGGATGCAAGTCAAACAACAACAACCACAAAAACTTAGATTAAGCCATCAGTCTAACTCCGTACTACAACAAAACAAACATGTCCAAACCAAAAAACGTTTTCCAAATAAAAAAATAAAGCCATAATTGCAACGTAATAGTGATCACAAGGACTGTGACCGAATTTTTATAATAAACTACATAAATAACATGTAACACCAAATCCTAGAGCCATAGCTGGCTGCATGAGTTACTCCACAACAACAGAAGCATCGGTCGGAGTATCAAATTTTTCAATGCACCTTTAAGATCAGCACGCTAAATCAAAATACAGATAATACTTTGCAGCGTCATCCGGAGCGAAACATTTTATTTTATTTTACGCCAATGAATAGCAGTGGCAGCTAGGGGTGTACAACTCCTCTAGAGCATTCGTGACCGCAGTAATTCATATTCTTAGCTCTTTCCCTTCAACGTGACTTTACCGAAAGAGCTAAGAATATCCTCTGGAGCAGTTTTGAGAGAAGATTTCATTGGTAGCGATTCAAGTTGCAGGTTATTGGCAATAGCATTCCAGACCCTGGGGGCATCAATAGCAAAGGCCCTTCCTCCAGTTTTTGTATGGCAATAGGGAATGTGAAGTTGGCAAATGAGCGAAGACCTGAGGTCAAATTTGTTCTTTGAAGCAGAAAGGAGATCCAGCAGGTAGTCTGCGGATTTTTTTGTAAGTACATCGTGAATAAATAAGATCTGGTGCACAATCCGTCGAACATTAAGAGAT